TCCTCTTTCAATTGTTCTTAATCCAGAGTCTCTCTTCTGTCTGTGTCTCTACAGTCAGGAAATTATCTTTTTTGTTTATTTGGTGAGGTTATTGTCTGTTGTATAGCATATATAACAAGAGCTGCCAGAGTGATCATTAATAATACTATACAGTCACATCTCCTGTCACAAGTAGCCTTTTTATAACTATTGGAAAAACTGGAAAAATGGCACCAACTAATCATTGTTTTTGTTTATTACTGGGTAGGCTATGACTTGGGAAGAGGACAGGCAATTTAGGTAAAGCCAGACTTTTAGGTATCAGAAGACAGATCTAGAAAACAGACTTGGGTTTTAAATTGGATGACTTCTAAGGTACTCACCTTCCTTAAAAGTTTTCTGGGCTAAAAAAATTGAGAAGGGCCACTTAAACGTTTTTGGTGCTGAATGAGGACTTGACTCCTCAAGATTTTTGCTTTTAAATACATCCCACTCTGTTCCCACTGGCCCTGCAGTCAGACTGGTGGGGCTTAGCCCTAAGAGTGCGTATCTCAGAGGAGTAGAAGGAGTGCCACAGACATGGGGATCTCATCACAGAGGAAGGGCTTTGAGCAGCCATTCTCCAGTGGTCCAAGGCTGGGTTTAACATTGATTTTTATTTGGTTTGAGATGGAGTCTCCCTCTGTCGCCCAGGCTGGAGTGCAGTGGCATGCTCTCAACGCACTGCAACCTTCTCCTGGGTTCAGGCAATTCTCCTGCCTCTGCCTCCCAAGTAGCTGGGATTACAGGTGCGTGCCACCACACCTGGCTGATTTTTGTACTTTTGGTATAGATGGGATTTCACCATCTGGGCCAGACTGGTCTCGAAACTCCTGACATCATGATCCGCCCGCCTCGGCCTCCCAAAGTGCTGGGAATACAGGTGTGGGCCACCGCACCCGGCCGACATTGATTTTTATTTGTGTTACTGCTCTCTGGAGATACGTCACAAGATTTAATGAATGTTTTTTGGTCTGCATATATTTGATGCGTGACCTGGTGATTTGAGTTCTACCATTACCTTTTTTTGCTTTCTGATTATGTACTATGTAAGTAAATCAATAAAGAAGAGAATGGAGAAACAGCTCTGTTTAACATTTCAGGGGTGATGGAGTAATGCTATCTATAAATATTTATACTTTCCTGAGAAGATGTCTTTTTCTTTTTGACATTCAGATGCGTTCACTAAGAGATTCATCACTAAAGAGAGGAGGAGGAGTGTGAGGGGGGAATGAAAAGACATTCCCCCCCACCCCCTTAAATTTCTAGATGTCTTTCAAAAGATAAATAGAAAAGAAGAAAACTCAAAAGAGTTTTTATTTTGAATAAGTCACTTTTTTCTAAGGCATTGAAATACTTAGCCTTTTCTCACCCAGGATAGTAACAGTCAGGGGAATATGGATATATAATTGAAGGATCCCCAAAAGCAAAATACACTGTTGGCTTGCAGCTTCCTGTGAGTTCCACAGCTTCTCATACCTCCCAGGTTGCAGCCTCTCTCTCCTCCTTTCTGCCTCCACTCTATCCTGACTTCAGCCTTGTCAGAGCCAAATCACTTCCTAAAGGCCCCACATCTTAATACTGTTGTTTTGGGGATTAGGTTTCTACTTGAATCTTGGAGAAGACACTTGCGAACCATAACAGAGGAAGCTTGCTCAGTGGATTCTTAAATCAAGATGCCTTCTCTAACACAGATCATCACTCATCTATTGTTTTTTCAGGTTTGGTATTTTTCTTCTCTCTTTTCGCTCTCACTCTCCCTTTCTCTCTCTCCCTGACCCTTCTTTCCTCCCACCTCCTTCCCTTCCTCCCTCCCATCTGCCTGCCTGCCTGCCTGCCTGCCTTCCTCCCTCCCTCCCTCTCTTCCTCTCTTTCTTTCTCTCTCTCACTTTTTCTTTTTCTTTTGGTAGAGACAGGGTCTCCCTATGTTTCCCGGCTGTTGAACTCCTGGACTCAAGCCATCCTCCTGCCTTGGCCTCTCAAAGAGCTGGGATTATAGGCATCAGTCACCATGCCCGCCCTTGATAGTTTTATAGTGAGATATTTTTTAGTAGTCTCCTCTCTATAGCTGATGATAAAATCTGTCAACCTCAGTTTCATAGGGAGCTGTGGTGATGTGAGCGCCCACAAGGATAGCAGTAGGTGCAGCCATTGGACCACCAGGAGGAGAGTGGCTCCAGAGCCTCTGTGGGAGCTAGTTAGAAGCTAGGTGTGCTCTCCCACTGATGTTGCTTACAAACCTACTGTCACGGCTTTCTAGACAGCCTCAGCAGCTGCTTTTAGGCAGCCAGTGATAAACAACCGTTAACTGACGACATGGTTTTGTGCTGGGGGCTAGTGTCCCTGTGAGGGGTGATGGTAAGATTGGGCAGCTCTTGCTTGTGCTGGAGGCCATTTCTGTTCTAACTCTCACCCGCTTAAGTCTTGCCTGGGAAGGTTGAGAAGGCCCTAGAATAACCTTGGAGCCCTTCAGGAACCTCAGGAACTCCTAACGACTTGAACCCCGAGAGCTGTAACATCATCCTAGGATCATTTAGATGTTGGAAGGACTTCAGTGATGAAAGTGACTTAGGCTCTTATTCCCGGCTTGTCCCTGTACTGCTTGCTGCTTTCCTCCCCGAGCTCAGTGGAAGCTCTCGGAGGGCAAGGCAGGGCCCCTCTCTCTACAAGCAGCGCCTGGTCTACTACATGGCGCTTGCCAACTCTCTGTGAGAGTTGCTGTGAGAGTTAATGCAAGACGAGTCTTATTTCATCCAGTTTATTTCCCTGAAGTACTCAGCGTAGTTTCTTGTGCTTTGTAAGTAATTGATAAACAGATGTAGATTGACTAGTATCCTTCCCCTAGGCCCAGAATCTGAACCTTATCTTCTGTACCCACAAGATACTGTGCCTTACATGTTTAGGTCTGCAGTTCGAGGTGGTTGTGTGGAATGTGGAGGGAGACCCCGCAGAGGTGCTTCCCATCCCTTTTTATATGATGAAGGAGTGATCTGACAAGGAAAACCATCATTTGGTTTCATCCGTATTAGAGTAACCAAATTTATTTTAATTCCAGTATAATGAGAGCCAAAATAAAACAAACAACAAACTGTTATTCTGCCACTGTAATAAATTTGCTAACATAGTCTTTTCCCTACTTGACTGGACGCACCCTAAATTCTACGCAGCATCAATCATATCGTCCCATTATCACAGGTATTTTCTACATTGCCATGTAGTTTTGTTAGGTGGTGCAGCATGGTGGTATTATAGCAAGGCATGGGCCCTGGAGGCACATAGGCCCAGGTTAGAGTCCTGCTCCTGGCACTCGCTAGCGTTGTGACCTTGAGCACAATACACACATACGCATATGCGTATGTCCTTGTCTACACGAGCACCTGCATCTGTGCTTATATTTATTTGTTTTAGAGATGATGTCTTGCTCTGTTACCCAGGCTGCAGTGCAGTGATAATGATCGTAGCTCACTGCAGCCTTGATCTCCTGAGCTCAGACCATCCTCCTGCCTTAGCCTCCTGAGTACACCTAGGACTACAGGTGCACACCACCATGCACGGCTAGCTTTTATATTTAAAATATCCGTGTAGAGACAGAGTCTTGCTATGTTGCCCAGGCTGGTCTTGAACTTCTCGACTCAAGCAGTCTTCCCACGTCAGCCTTTGAGTCAATGGAATTATAGGCGTGAGCCCCAGCTATGCCTATATTTATGTATTCATACACATGTTTATAATGATTCTGCTGATTACCACTTACATTTAACTGTAACTCTTTGCCATTTTGTGTCGAAAGAACTACATTTAGGCTTATCGTACTGATTAAAATCCTAATTGGGCCATATGTAGTCTGGCTAAATAGATTAGTTTGCCAGGGCTGTCCCCTAACAAAATACCACTAACTGAGTGGCTTAAGTAACAAAAATGTGTTGTCTCACAGTTCTGGAGGCTAGAAGTTCAAGGTCATGGTGACAGCAAGGTTGGTTCCCTCTGAAGGCTGTGAGGGAAGGATCTGTTCCAGGCCTCTCTTGTGGCTTGTAGATGGCCATCTTCTGTCCTCTTTACATCATAGTTCCTGTGGGTCTGTGTCCAAGTTTCTCCTTCTTATAAGGATAACGGTAATTTTGGATTATGTCCCACCCTAATGACCTTGTTTTAACCTGATTGCCTCTGTAAAGGTGCCATCTTCAAATAAGATAGCAGTCTGAAGTCCTGGGGGTTAGGACCTTAACATATGAATTTTGGAAGAAACACAGTTCAGCCCATAACACTAAGGTAGGTGCGCTATTGGAGGACAAGCTGAATACCAATTTTATAGATACTGGTGCTGTTAGATGACACATGATTGTAGCACAAATTCCCATTGATGCTGCCCCTCTCCAAGTCAGGGAATTCGTTAGTCCTGCTGTTTCTTTGGGAATTCTCTTTTGTCCCTGTCTCTCTCTGATTGGTTTGTGCATTGGTATTCTGTTATTTTTCCAGCTTTCTCTTAAGTTTTATGTTTGTTTTTGGAATTGTTTTCCAAGAATAAGTCCAGGTTGTGCAGATAACAAATGTGACATTATCTTAAAACAGTCCTTTAGAATACTATCCTGAACTGTGCTATTGGGAATTCATTGTTTCATGTCATCTGTCATGGGGTCATTTTGGTTTCTTCCTTGTGCTTTTGATGAAGTAACATGTATGTGTACAGACTGCAATTTGATTTGTTTTTTGCTATTTGAAAATACAAATCTTATAGCCAGGTACAGTGGCTCATGCCTGTAATCCCAGCACTTTGGGAGGCCAAGGCGGGCAGATCACGAGGTCAGAAGATCAAGACCATCCTGGCTAACAGGGTGAAAACCCGTCTTCACTAAAAATAAAAAAAATGAGCCAGGTGTGGTGGCACGTGCCTATAGTCCCAGTTACTCGGTAGGCTGAGGCAGGAGAATTGCTGGAACCCGGGAGGCGGAGTTTGCAGTGAGTCAGGATCATGCCACTGCACACCAGCCTGGACGACACAGTGAGACTCCATCTAAAAAGAAAAAAGAAAAAGATAGTACAAATCTCACTCGTAACTCACTGATAAAATTGATAACTTTTGATCTGGCTTTATTTTATTAACTATAGGAAAATGTTACATCATCAGCATACTTCAATTTAGTTAATAACCTTTTTGTAATTTGGGTTCGACGTGGTAGGCAGTTCTAAAACCTTGGGCTTACAAGAAGCAGCACATGGCTGCTCACCAAGCATGTCCACACGGCTTTCTGTAGTAACGTCTAGTCTAGTCCTTCTCTCTGTCATTTCTGCCGTTTGTAGTATATTTTAAAATTTATGGTAAACATTTATCTTTTCTCTGCCTCTTTTTTGTAAATCTGGTTTATTGCCCATGCCAGATCTTTTTTCTCCCGTTCATTCCTTTGTCAGTTCTGTCTCTTGGTCTGGTCCCTTGCAGCTTGAGTCCTGGACAGCAGGATGGTTCTGTGGGGTAGATTAAACTCTAAAACCTAGATTGATTATTAGCCTTCTCAGTTGTTAATGCATATTCATTCAGTTAACCCATAAATCAAACAGCTGATACCTATACATTCAGATTTCATTATTTCTTGCTGTTTTGGTATCTTCTAGATTGCTCTGTAAAAATACTGATGACAATGATGATTGCTTTAACAGAAGGAAGAAATTCAGCTTAATAAAGTAATCTGAAATAAAAAACAGAAGAGGTTTCAAATAGAAAAATCCTTATTGCATCCTTATTTATAATAGGGAAAACTTGCAAATAGTTGATATATGCAAAAAAAGATACAGCTATTAAATTGTGGGGCATTATTTACATTATTTATTTATTAAAAACAATGTAAAGAGTTTGCAGTACAGTGGGAAAATATGTAATTAGAATAGGGAGAACTTAGGTTATAGAATTATATAGAGTGTATAATCTCAACTACATAAAATAATGCATATACATTAGCAGGAAATGTGGCCAGATGTTAGCGGTATTTATCTTTGAGTGGGGTGGGGCCAGACATGGAAGTCTAGATTCAGATAGACCTGGGTTAAACCTTTCTTTCCTCTTGTGTTTGCCTGTTACTTACGAGACATAATCTGTATTAAGCCTGATTTATCTAGGGTAAATAGGATCTCCCTCACCTAATGATTTTCCAGAATCATTAGGTAAGTGCTTAGTTCAGTGTATGACATACAATAATGCAACAAGTGAAAGTTCAATTACTAATAAAAACATTATCAATAAAAACCCATTTTTTCCCATTTTACTGTATTCCTGGCACAAGCACTGTATTGATTTCTCCATGTTCCCTTGCGTTTTAAACAGCACACATTAGAAGGCAGAACCCCCAAATCCATGGCTTTGGTCAAGTTCACTTAACTGTTCTGTTTGGGTTGTCCTGCTAGGGTGAAGTCTAAACCCCTTAGCATGGGGTTATGTTGAAGATTCAGTATCTTAATATAAAAAGGGCTTAGCCTCGGTGCCAGGCACATAATCACTTACATATGTTAGCTGCTATTATGTACTTAAAAAAATTTTTTTTAAATATGTATATAAGTTAACTGAAACATTGCACATTTTTAGGTATAAAATGGGGGTGATCTTGGCATGAGTGGTGGTAGGAAATGAGGACCCTTTGGAAAATCCTGTTCAGTCTGTGACTGCTGGATTGGTAATGTGATGATATGCTGATGGACTTGAGTCTACACAAATGGAAAGTTTAGGCAAGTTTCTTGATTTGTTTCAGTTCTCCAAATATATGCCAGATTTTTAGGTCCTTCTGATTTGTGGTTAATGGATTAACATAGATAAGTGGCAAAAATATGTTTTAATTTTCTTTCATTTTTTTCTTCAAAATCAAGAAAAATTTGCCCAAGTCAAAAAATGTGCTTGTTGCCTTTTTGAGTCATGCATGGTGTGGGTTTTCAGCCTTTTCTTCACTGGTCCTTGCAGGGGAAGGAAATGGAACGAGGAAGCGCAAGATTCTTCCATTTTTTAGGTGAAAGCAAACATGATAATGTAGATTTGCCTTGGCAGCTCAAATCCGTGCTGCTTTTAGTAGATGTTCTTTAGTGGGGGCCACACTGTCTCAGTATCAAATTAAGCACAGCATAAAGAGAGTCACTTGAGAAGAAAATCGTGCGCAGTCCTCCTCACTCATTCTTCCAGGTTCAGTCTGGAAGAAAACACTGAATTCCCTCCCCATTACTGTAGATCACAGTTCCCCCCACCCCCAAGTGAAAACCAAGTATACCTGTGCTAATCACAGTGGTGAGTGCCTTAATGACAAAGCTCGTGTTGCCCGGCCTCAGCAGGAGACTGCAGAATATGCCTTCCTGAGATTTTATAGGCTAACCACCAAGGGTCAGCAAAAACAAGTAATGGGATGAGTTATTCCCTGTTATCTAGACAAATGGTAAATAATTCATAGTTCACCTGGTCTTGACCTTCACTTTTATTTTTCTTCTATTTTTTTCCTGGACCTGACCTTTTATATTTTTATTGTATCTACTTTTGTAAACAACCTATTTTCAATCATTTGAATAAGTTAATGTATAAAAGAATTCAAAGTCAGAGTTCAGTTTAGAGCCGCCTTCTTTCTGAAGCTTTTTACAAGAGGAGGAAAATAGCAGATCTGAAAGGTAGACTCCAGAAGGACTGAGATGTCTCACTGATTTATTCAGCTGTCTTGGCAACCACAGGGGAATAGTGAGATTGCTGGAGAGCTGACACAGCCTTCTTATGGTTCGACAAAAAATGACAGTAACTTCCACACACAGGCCAGGAATTCACATATCTTCCCAGAACCTCTGTTTTTATCTATGAAAGGGGGTGCAGAAAAATCCAAAATCTTTTTAACTTGCTGGCCTGTTGATCATAATCAGTGACAAGACATACATGGAAGTGCCATGGAGTGCTTCAGTGCTGAGTGGTCATCAGGTGATAGCATCTCCTGTTTGTTTCAGTGGTGACGCAGGCCAGGAGGGCTGGTGTTGGAGCAAGGTCACAGCTGAGTGCTCTGAGAGTTGAGGGGAGGAGATGGATCCTTGCTTGTTGGGGCAGGGTTTAAAGACTAGTTTAGGCTGGGTGCGGTGGCTCAGGCCTATAATCCTAGCGCTTTAGGAGGCTGAGGTGGGTGGATCATGAGGTCAGCCATTCGAGACCAGCCTGGCCAATGTCATGAAACCCTGTCTCTACTAAAAATACAAAAAAAATTAGCTGGGTGTGGTGGCACGTGCCTGTAATCCCAGCTACTCAGGAGGCTGAGGCAGGAGAATCACTTGAACCCAGGAGGTGGAGGTTGCAGGGAGCCAAGATCGTGCCAGTGAACTCTGGCAGGGGCAACAGAGCAAGACTCCGTTTTTTTTTTTTTTTTTAAGGCTTATTTATTTATTTTTGAGACAGAGTCTCGCTATGTCACCTAGGCTGGAGTGTAGTGGCACAATCTTGGCCCACTGCAACCTCCGCTTCCTGGGTTTAAGCAATTCTTCTGTCTCAGCCTCCTGGGTAGCTGGGATTACAGGCACGTGCCACTCTGTCCAGCTTATTTTTGTATTTTAGTTTCACCATGTTGGTTAGACTGGTCTTGAACTGCTGACCTTGTGATCTGCCTGCCTCGGCCTCCCAAAATGCTGGGATTACAGGTGTGAGCCACCGCACCCAGCCAAAAGGCTAGTTTATAGAAGCAAAGCTGGATGCTGGGCTTGAGGGGTAACAGAGGACCTGGAGCAGAGGGTGGTAACGTTTCAGATACACACAGTCTGAAATAATTGAAGCAGTTTTGCAGGGATTGAAAAATCATCCATTTCATTAGTATGGAGAATTCTTATGGTGTGCATAGGAGATGGGAAGCAGGGTAGATAAGGCTGGATGGTGGGTGGGGGCCTTGGTCCTTCGGGCTAAGCAGCTTGAACATGACTGTCCATACATTTCAAAATGTTCTGTGTGCATTAAAGATCAGCTCTAGGCAAAATCATAAAGCTGTGAGAGCATAGGTGTTGGCCCCCCTCTCTCTCAGCAAGTCCTTTTTTTGTACTCGCCTGCTCACTGCCAGAGTTCTGCTGTGTTCTGTAGCACACTACCCCTTCCTCAGCAGAATTTCCTCTTAATTAGGCATCCTCTGTAATGAAGGGCAGAGCTCAGCTAAGTTGCCTGGAGGGTTCTGAAACTTACCATTTCTATGACAGTGATAGGTAGCAAATGCACATATCCACTTTTATAGCAAAGTTTAACTGGGGACAAATTTTTATGACCAACAATATATTTAATGATGGAATTCCAGGTGCCAGTGCCAAGAACTACCTGGCAACGGGGGGGTAACTTGGAGGGATCCTGGGAGGGCTCTAATCAACCGTGTGCATACCTTCTCTACACTGTGGCAGTATGAGAGGGTCTGGCTGCGGTTTTTTTAGCAGTGTGACCTTTGGGAAGGTCTCTTGATCTCGAGGTTTTAGTTTCTTCACCTGAAAATGGAAAATAATATCAAGGATCTTTTCTCATCATTCTTGTATTCCATGTTGAGGGCACTCTGGTTCTTAGTGGAGGCTAGAAATGCTGACTTCTCCCCACCCCATTCATGAGTTAAATATAAATAAGTATTGAGCCCTTCTCTGTGGCAGGCACTTGATTGTGAGCAGTATACATGGTGTTTGCCCTTAGGGAGCTTCCAGTTATTTCCGACTGAGGTGGCTTGGTTCTTTTTTTGAGTTGTTCATTTGAGTTCTCATTTGGAGAACTTCATCTTGTCAGCCATGAGGTTCAGCATCTGTGGTGTCTGGAGCAGGCTGTTCTTGAGTAGACATAACTTGGTCTGCTGGATGTTGGATCTCTGTTCATCCTTTAGTTGTGATATTAGTGTGGATAATTCCTAATGGCTAATTTAAGGGGAAATCTGGTTAAATCTTTTCATGGAGTATGTATTAATTCCACAAATATTTATTGACCACCTACTCTATGCTGGGCACTGTGCAAGGCCTTGAAATACAAAGGTGACTCTAACGATGCAGTTACTGCTCTCTGAGGCCAGCAGGGGAGATGGACTTCTAACGGCAAATGTATTCCTGACACTACGTATATATCTTACTGCTGCTATACTGGGGACTGTGGTGGCCCTACAGGTTACTTAGGGATATAAGGGGTTTGCAAAACAGCCCTGGGAGCAACAACTTGGCTCAAATTTTTACTGAGCTGCATGGCCTGCTGCTAAGTTTACACCTGTGTGGGTGGTTAATTATTTCTCCTTTGCTCACGTACCACTTGACTTTTAATGACGGTTATTTCTAGTTGAAGTGTTCAAACAATAGTCCTGGCGTCTCTTGCCTCCATGAGGGAGAACTCAAGAGGGATTCTTACATAAATGTTCTCTCTAGTTTTTCTGGTCTCCCCACTCTGGCTGCAGATGGGAGCTTAGCTGTCCTGGTCCTATTCTAAGTGGCTGTGAGCCACATGGAAAAAAAATCATATCAGCTGTGTTCATTGCTGCTTTTCCTGAGCTTACTATGGCATGGAGCTCTCTCAGGTGTGGATACAGAGACTAGGGCAGCCTCTCCACTCAGGCCCTGCCCTCTGGGTTCCCACCAGTTGGGAAGAGATATCTAGGGCCCAGTAGGTTGACAAGATTATTATGGAGGGCCTCGGTAACTTGCAGGAAATGTGGCTCCATAGTAAACCTGGGGGATGAGATCAAATGGGATGCTCTGCCTCCTTCCTTCCTGATCCCTCCTTAAATTAAAAATACCTGGCTCCCCAGGGTACCTGAGCCAGGACTGTCCTGCAGAGCGAGATGGAGGGCAAGACCCTGGCTTTGGCATTTGCAGCACTTCTGGGTAGCAGTGACCCAGTGCATGACGGGTTCTTACCTGCAGAGGAGATACTTCTCTTCCTTCCTTGTAGAGGAGAGGTAGGGAGTGGAGAAGGGGAAGCTCTTTCCTTGGCATTTCTTTGAGAGAGCCGAATTGTTCCCAGGAGATTGAGGTGTAAACACATGAATATAGCAAGTACAGCCGTCCAAAATTGGGCACAGAGGTCTTCCCAAGAGGCCACAGGGGAGAGTCAGTGGCTGGAGGCCGAGAGAAGAGGGGAATGGTGGCCAGCTCTTACTCTTGTGGACATCCAAGGCCCCACTGAGGTATGGTGGCCCGTCCCTCTGGTCTTGCCAGGTGGGTACAAATCCCTGCATTACGCAGGAGTGTGCAGAGCCCCCATTGTGCCTCCTCTAAGTTGCCCCAGGCAGAGCTCATGAACAAGTCCCAGGGTGGAAGCTGATAGTAATGCCAGCCTTGCCCCACAGGGTGAGGGATTTTTCCCTCTTGAACTCTTGGGTTGGGGGAAGCTAAGTGACCTCCAAGAGAACAGCCTAGCTGCTGTAGGAGTTAGCTGCTCCACATGCACACACAGCCTCACAGCTCATCCTCGGATAGTTCTGTGTTTAGGAATAGCATGTTGTATGACTGGAATAAGAATAAAAACAGGAACTATATTTATTTATCTTTAATTTTTATTTATTTTTTTGAGATGGAGTCTGGCTTTGTTGCTCAGACTGTAGTACAGTGGCATGATGTCAGCTCACTGCAACCTCCGCCTCCCAGGTTCCAGTGATTGTCCTGCCTCAGACTCCTGGGTAGCTGGGATTACAGGCATGTGCCACCATGCCTGGCTAATTTTTGTATTTTTAGTGGAGATGGAGTTTCATCGTGTTGGCCAGGCTGGTCTTGAACTTCTGACCTCAGGTAATCCGCCCACCTCAACCTCCCAAAGTACTAGGATTCCAGGTGTGAGCCACTGCGCCCAGCTCACAGGAACTATGTTTATGTAAGTGAATAAAGGGCTAACCAGAAGGTGAGCTCCATGTAGACAGGAATTGTACCTGTCTTTGCTCCCTAATGCCTGTTACAGTATCTAGTACATAATAGATACAAAATAAACAATAAATGATGTTTATAGCTTAGATAGTGGCCAAATCCAGTATGCTGGTTTCAGTGTTTCTGAAACAACTCCCATTGACATTAGTCATGCAACTCCCATGACTAACGTTAATAAAAATAATAAGCCCTTACCTAGCCTTTTCTCTGTGCCTTTGACTCATTTAATTGTCTGGCAATCTTATAGACAGATCTGTTTTTCTTTCCCATTTTGTAGAGGAGGAGACTGAGGCAGATGGCAGTTAAGTGACCAGCTCAGATCATGCAGCTGGTAAGGCAGGTGGAGTCGGGGCACTTTGAGGTCCTCTCTTATAGGCAGAGATCCAAGGGGAGGCAGCTCATCTTGACCAATGAAACATTTATTTTGAAGAGGAGGAAGCCTCTGCTGGAGCTGAACTTGTTTGTCCTGGGATGAACCAGGGTGAGCCTGGGCAGCCTACGCTGCGACCATCATCCTGGGCTGTTTACAGCTCAATGGGACTGAAAAGTGTGTATTCTAAAAGAAGAATGTCTGGGTTTCACCACTGGTTCCATCGGCTCCACTTCCACAAGGGAAACTACAGAAAGGCTTTGTGTTGGTTCAGACAACCTTTACACATACAGTGAGGGCAGAAATGGTCAGAGCGAGACAAGATTATGAAAACAAACACAGGGCAGGTTTCATGAATTTATACTCAGTCTTTGAGCAAAAAAAAAAGAAAAAAAAAAAGACGAGATTCAGTAAGATAGCAGTCATTCAAATTGGGATAAAGGAGAACCGAACAATAATAAGATCATAAAATAGAAAAAGGGATTAGACTATAACAACACTGCAAGAAATTGAACACAGATTTGGCTCTGAACTTCCATGCAGCCAAACTGCAAAAGGAAACCTGATCAGCTCTCCTAGCCTCCGAGTCTGTACCATGAAAAGCCCAGAGAGGGTTAGGGTACAGAAAAGTAGGGGCCAGGACCAGTTGCAGGCTGTGCTGCCCTGAAAACATCACCGTGGACAAGGAGCACAAATCTTTATCGAAGTGTGTTGTCTGAGCTGCCTCGTTTTCTCAGGGTTTTAGTGGAAGTACAGTTAAATTTCTCACAAGTATGGAAAATGCACACTCATCTTTAGTCTACATTTCTAGGTTGCTATATGTTCTAGTTCTATTTTCTTTTTTGTTGTTGTTGCTGCTGTTGTTGGTTCGTTTGTTTTTGAGACAGAGTCTTGCTGTCACCCAGGCTGGAGTGCAGTGGTGCGATCTCTGCTCACTGCCACCTTCTCCTTCCAGATTCAAGTGATTCTCCTGCCTCAGCCTCCCAAGTAGCTGGGATTATAGAGGCCCACTGCCACACCCGGCTAATTTTTGTATTTTTAGAGGATTTGGGGTTTTGCCATGTGGGTCAGGCTGGTCTCGAACTCCTGACCTCAGGTGATCCACCTGCCTCAGTCTCCCAAAGTGTTGGGATTACAGGTGTGAGCCATTGCACCCGGCCTTAATCCTACTTCTTTTTGCCATAGGGTAAGTCATGGTACTTGATTCCAACGAGTGTCTGTTTTGCCAGCATCTCGTTTTGTTTTGAGTGGTGCTAGAAACAGCTCATTGCTGTGGTTCTTGTGGGATGGTGAATAAATCCCATGTACTTTGATTTCAGAGCTCATCTAGGTTTCCCTATGTCAGTGAGACCATCTTGCATGATAATAATTAAAATACTTTGTCTTTAAATATATTGGTGTAGATTACAAAATATTGGCCTTTTAAAGACATTCCTGGGAAGTCAGTTGTTGGCCTTATCTCAAGCTTGAAAGAACTGAAGCTTAATAAAGCGGAGCCAGAAGTGAGACCTTTTAGTCTTGGACCCACGTGCAGTGCTCTGTAAGAATAACTAGTTTGGTTTCCACTATTAATTTATTATTATTATTATTATTATTATTTTGGTATATTGTGTTCCTGTCATGCTTTATTGCAATAGTTGTTTTTGGGTGATAAAAAAAAAGTTGAGGCCACAAGTCTCATAGTGAACGTAGCTTTCCTTGTCTGTTGAACACCTACCCTGAACTACCCTCCATTTCATGTCCTGCCCCCTCGTGAGATGTAAGGATGAGGAGACTGTGGATCCAGCAGGAATAGTTGGCCAAGTGTTCAATATCTATTACGAAGCTCCTTCTGTGGGAGCAGGCTACCTCCTACTCTCTGAGGGCAGCAGAGGGGAGGTGACAGGTCCAGAGGTCCAAAGTATCAGCAGGCCTGGAACTGAGCCTGCAGTGTAAACTCCGCACACAGGGTCCTTTCTGTGAACCTAGACTTAGCCACTCGCCTTCTCTGCAATAGACCTGGGGCACCCATGTGCACTTGGCGCAGAATAGAGCTTGTGTATGGTGAGGAAGGGTACTTAGCTAGCCCCAGACTGTCTCTTAAGACCATAATAAAGTGGAAACCATGTCTATGTAGATAACTTCCCTGTGGAGTTTACAGCAACCATGTGATGTGCACCTTTGGATACAAAGTGTTAAAAGCATACATCTGAGCTACTGCCTGTTCCTCTGTTCCCTCCTAGCATACCTGCTTAGGAGACAAGTCCACACCTGCTGTGCCAACTCTCTCTTTCATCTCTCTCCTGAACTTGCTACTCTACACTCTGCCCCCCACCCCACAAGCTCTCCAATTTGCTGGATTCAATTGTGATGTCTCGGTTGCATCCTACCTGACCTGTGACCAGCAGTGAGCCCAGTTGATCTCTCCCTTCTGTTTGATGTACTTTCTCCTGGATTCCACCCTCTGTCTATTCTCTTCCCTCACCTACTTCTGCACCTCCTTTGCCAATTCCTTCTCCTCTTCCAATTCAGAATGTTGTCCCCAGGACTGAGTCATTAGGTTTCCTCTCGCTCTCCCTCACTCCCTAGAGTCTTTCTAGCCCCTCCCACCCAGTTCTCTTGCCATCTTTGCGTTCAGTTCTCTATTCCACCTCTTCACTGATACCTCTAAAGACACTCACCTCCAAATCTTTGTCCCCAGCAGGCTTTCTCAGTTGTTTTTGGACAGAGGTTTTCCTCATGTCCTCCTGTTTCTGCTTCTCTGCTTCCTGTCTGCTTCTCAGCTCCCAGAACCACTCTCCTGTGCACGTGGTGGACCCCTCAGCCCCAGGCGCCTCGCCGTGCCCTGCAGGGCTCCCTCCAATTCTGCTGCCCCTTTTGGCACTTTTTCTCTTTGCTCCCCTGTGTGTCTTCCGCTTCCTTCTGACCTCTAGTATTAGGTCCTGCTGTTACATTTGGCTCTTGGGTCCATGTCCGAGCTCTGTCTTGCCTTGGATGGAATCTCTCTCGGCATACTTAGGGGACCATTTATTTGCCCTTCAGAAAGCTCAGTTTTTAGCCTGGGAAGGGCAGACTTCACGCAGCAACACTTAAAACTCTTACTTTTCCCAGGGAACAGAAGATATTAGCCATCCCATCTTCTCTGATTCATCCCATAAACAGCATCCAGAACAGCATGGAGCTCTGTGGCTTTCCTCACTGACTCTTACTGCCAGTGAAGCTTATGGATTTTAGCAATTGTCACCAGCCCCTAGGGGACAGAGTAGCCCATGGAATGATCTTCATCACAGCAAATTCGTCTATTTATCTCTAGAGTTTAAGTTTTATTTCCCCCAACTGGAGAGCTGCTGGTTTAACTCGGTCTATAAAGAGAGCAGTAGGGAAAGCTTTTGCATATGGCTTTAAAAGTCCTCGAGATTGCAGGTAGGCATTGCCAGATACTTTGAACCCCTCTGCGGTGTCAGCAATCCAGCCGCTGCCTAGGCTGTAGTTAATTAATTCACTTTTAGGCACATTCCCAGTGAACACTGCTGTTGTTTATTGAGGAGTATATCCTGACATTTCTCAACTAAGGAATAGTTTCACAATTTTCATGGCAAAATTCATTCGGAATGCAAGCATGGGTCAGAATGACATTACAGTTGGACGGCCTGAAAGCTTGCTTTGTGAGACTGTGTAAACCATGCCCGAATTTGCCAGAGCATCTGTTGAAAAACATCTCCTGTGTCCAAGTGACCCTGCCACCTGTTGTTAGGAAGCCAGCAATCAAGCGTGTTGAGAAGCTGAGACCCTGGAGCCACCGCTGCACTGTCTGGGCCTGAGCAGCCTGTTGTCCCCTCTGCTTTGTGGC